TGCACCATCTTTTACTCCTAGTACTGATGTTCATCCTAATACTTTTACACATCCTTTAGTCATATCTATCCCTCTACCTCAATTGTCACAATTCTTGGGTTCTGGAACTTTAAAACCTACTATTACTCAATCCAATTCGACATCAACATACAACAATGATGACCTTGTCTCTCCTTCACTATCTCCTACTCATGGATCAGCTGCACAGTCTTCTCATTTTGGACCTAATGGTTCTCCAAAACTACATCCTGACACTACATCTTCTCAAGTTGATGCACTGCAATCGGTCACAATTTCCACACTTAACAGTCATCCTAAGCAAACTAGATCGAAATCTGGTATTGTGAAGAAGAGAGTTTTTTTAGCTATAATTGGTGCTGATATTCCTCTGACAGAACCTACAACCAATTTAACAACTTCTAAGTGTGTGGAATGGCAGGCTGCCATGAAAGAAGAAATGCAAGCCTTGGTTCAACAACAAACCTGGAAACTTGTTCCTCTTCCTCCCAACAAGAACCTTGTAGGCTGCAAGTGGATCTATAAAATCAAAAAGAATTCTGATGATTCTATAGCTCAGTATAAAGCTAGGTTGGTTGTGAAAGGGTTCTCACAGGAAGCTAGGATAGACTATTATGAAACTTTTAGTCCTGTGGTCAAACCTACAACTGTGAGGTTAGTGTTGTCCTTGGCTGCTACAAATGGTTGGAAACTGAAACAATTAGATGTTAAGAATGCCTTTCTTCATGGCTTTCTTGATGAAGAGGTGTACATGTCCCAACCACAAGGTTTCACGGATCTAATACATCCTGAGTATGTGTGTAAGTTGGAAAGGTCTCTGTATGGCCTTAAATAGGCTCCTAGAGCATGGAATGACAGATTTTCCAAGTTCTTGCTTTTTTTAGGATTCAAGTCATCTTATACAGATTCTTCTCTTTTTGTTCAACATGTTGGCAGTGAGGTAGTCATCCTTCTATTGTATGTTGATGACATTATACTCACAGGTAGTAATGATAAATTGGTACAATTTGTGATAACTCAACTCGCCAAGGAGTTTGATATGAAGGATTTAGGTCTTTTGCATTTCTTTCTTGGTCTGCAGATTGAGTATCAGTCTCAAGGATTGTTGGTTCATCAAACCAAGTATATCAAGGAAATCTTACAGAAAGCTAACATGGTTGATTGTAAACCTTGTCTTACTCCATGTCATCCCAATAAAAAGTTATTGACTCATGGCAGCCCTCATTTTTCAGATCCAAGTTACTATCGAAGTCTTGTTGGTGCTTTACAGTACTTAACATTCACACGACCTGATATAGCATTCTCTGTTAATTAGGTTTGTCAATTTATGCATTCTCCTCTTGAACAACATTTTGTAGCAGTAAAAAGGATTTTGCGGTATCTTAAAGGATCCATGCACTTAGGTTTGTGTTTTCGATCTAGTCCTATGTCTTTAAAAGCCTACACAGATGCAAATTGGGCTGGTGATCCCAATGACAGGAGGTCAACTACTGGTTTTGTTATTTTTCTGGGTTCTAATCATGTTTCCTGAAGTTCTAAAAAGCAGCATACGGTTAGTAGGTCTTCCACTGAGGTTGAGTATAGGGTGATGGCTACTACCACAGCTGAGGTTGTGTGGATTCAACAAGTACTCAAAGATTTACATGTTACATGTCTTGATACACCTTTGATGTACTGTGATAGCATTTCAGCGATGGCACTTGCAACTAATCGTGTCCTGCATTCTAAGGCTAAGCATATAGAAATTGACTGTCACTTTGTTCATGAAAGGGTTCAACAAGGCTCTATTGTGTTGCAGTTTATGGCTTCTGCTGATTAATATGCAGACATCCTGACTAAAGGCTTATGTTCTTCACAGTTCAATTTTTTTTGTTCCAATCTCATGCTTGGCTACTCCAATCATGGGATTGAGGGGGGATGATAGGTTGATAAATGTGTTGACATGTGTCATATTGTAATTGGGTGTTGTATAGAGTTAGTTAGAAGTGTTGACCCTGCTATAAGCTATATATACCACTGTGTAGTGTAATTATAAAGATCATCTAATGAAAAAGAATATTCAGTCTCTCTCTCTAGTTGTTAACTTTCTCACTCTACAATTGCTTTCTGTAAACCTTCATTGTTGACAAGTAGGACATGCGAGTCTCAGAGTAACCGCTTCAATGGAACTTGCGTGAGTAAGAGTAAATGTGCAGTTGTTTGCCAAACTAAGGGCTTCCTCGATTGCTGGTGCTTGGGTTTACGCTGCAGATGCTTTTGCACACAAAACTGTTAATTAGCTAATTAATTAAGCTAGTGATGAGCTGATCACTTATCACTTAGTGGGTGCATGGACGCATGTACTTTGGTACTAGTGTGGAACTTGATGGAATAATTCACGGTTAGGTTGTTAATTAATATCGTATCACTGTTATGGTTTTTAATGTTCTTGTTTGTTATGCATCATCGTCATGAGTTACCTTGTACAGTATGTCGTACTGCATAACTTATTTATGGGTTAATTTCAGTTTACTACTCTGAAGTTTCTTGATTTTCAACATTACATACATCAAGTTTTTTTTCGTCCCAATCTGGCACCTAAAGTGATAATTAATTTTGAGACACTGTCATACATCTTCCCCGTGAATTCATAGAGCATTGTATAAAGAATGTTCAAGGGTTCATCTATTTAACCTACTAAAGGTTAAATAGATAGTTGTTAGGAGGGAAGGGATTCAATAGGGATCGAACATGTACCATGATGTATAAGCATGATTGCTTTCCGGTACTGCAGTAAAGCATCGTCCGTCAGTATGTTAGATGCTTACTGATGAAACGATTGCTGTAAATTTGTTGCATTCGCCAAAGGAAAAAAACAACCGGTGCCCCGTCCATCGTATTATCTTCCATTTACAAATTGGTAAAATTTTTGTGTAAGAATCAATATAAATGCATCAAAACACCTTACAAGTTACAACTATGTTACATCGCGGAATCAGGTTCGAAACTGCTCGGCAAGTTTCATCAGACTATAGGTTTCGGCATCCGGCCTTGCGCCGCCAAGAATCATCCTCTTCAAAAGGTTTGAATCATAAACTTTGGCTTTTACATAAGCCTTAATCAAAGTGTTGTACACAAAAGTATGCCTTGCATACTTGGCTTTTGCAAGTTCATCAAACAACTTCTCAGCATTCCCTACATCACCCTTCTCGGCAAAACCCTCGATTATCGAAAGAGTGGTCTCCAACCACGGGGTAGAATTCCTCACCACGTTGCTCATCGTCGAACTCATCCCCAACTCCAAAGTCTTAACAGCTTCCTCTACCAATCCTGCTTTTAAGCAACCCAGAGCAAGATGCCGGAAAGTTATGGCATTTGGTTGGCACCCAACCATCTTTATCTCCCGGAAAACCTTGGATGCTTTATCGATAAGGCCATGTTTGGAATAGACAGATATCATGGAATTGAACTGCTCAGTGGTTTTCATCCCTTTTACCGACTTCATCTCTAACCAAAGTTCTTCAGCTCGGTTGAGTTGTCCGATTCTACCAAATGCTTCAACTACCAGCACATAACTTTTAGACCTAACATGGGGCAGTTCCTTCACTAAGCCCCAAGTTTCTCCAATTGCTTCTCCTTCCCCAAATACCCATACAACATAATTAGAACATCTAACATTGACCAGTTGTTACCCGTAACTGACTTCTCCAAGGCTTCAACATACGCTTCAGCGGCCGTATACAACCTTGCCACTGCATGGGCAGTCGCTATGATGCAGTAAGATATTTCATTTGGCTCAACATTTGCTCGCTTCATATCAGAGTATACCTTCATCAATCCCTCAATACTGTACTCGTTCGCTTCTATTTTCATGAGAATGTTGAATGTCGAGGCATGTGGGGGAACTTTATCGGCCCTCATTTGAGCGAGGATTTTTGCTATCAACTTTTTACGCCTTGAAGAGGAATGAAGAACAATGAGCCGATTGAAAACCAAGTGCGAGATGGGATGGCCCAATTCCCTCATTTTCTTCATCAACTCGAGCGGAAGCCTTATTGCACCCTTATCCAAGCAGGCAATCACAAGATTGTTGTAAAGGAGATCGTTTTGAAACTCCGATGGAACGCGGGTAAAGAGTTCTTTACCTTGAGATATCCCATGAAACTTGGTTGTAAATTCCAGCAAATAAGAGTAGTCTAGTTCCTTTGGCCTGTAGGGCCTTTCTCTGATCACCCATTCCATTACCTGTCGAAAGCAATAGCTTCAGCTTTAAAATCCATCCCCCCACTCTACCAAATTGGTTCAAAATTTAAAGGGTAGTGAGATTGGCGGTCCTTATACATTGGCGAGAGCGGATATCCTCCTTTTTGCACTCAAGTTTGAATCTCTCTCCCCGCAGATGAGGAACCATTAAAATATAAAACAAAAAGCTCAAAATTTTACTAAAAAAGTTCACTTCTTTTCATCAATTTTCCCAGTAACTAAAAGACTACTAATTTTTACAATACGCAACCGAATAAATCTACCCATTAGAAAAATGAATGCAGGAGAGAGAGAGAGAGAGAGAGAGAGAGAGAGAGAGAGAGAGAGAGACCTCAAGAGCGCGTTTATTCTTCTTGAGCTTCCTGAGGCGGTTAATGGCGTGGAAGACGTCACCTCTATGAATGGGGAAGCCATCACCCATCCAGCTCTGGAAGGCAGACCCAACTGGTTCTCCACTCGGCAGCTTCTCAATCCTGTAAGATAAGCAGGACCTGGGTTCTGCTTGTTTGGACTCGACGATTTTCTCGGGAAAATCATTTGGTGTTTGGGTGCAGAGAAAAAATTTGAAGCCCGATGAAATTTTCTGGGCAGAAAAATCTGGGACGTAACCTGTTCGACGATTTGCCTGAACGAGAGTGCGATGTATCACAAGGTACAGAGTTTGCATACTTCCATTCAGAAAGTGAATGCATCAAGTGCCTGGTAAATGCTAAAATTTCCAACCCATTTACTTAGCCCAAATCTTGAAATTGGGCCTGGGTCCCAAGCCCAAATGGATTTATAAATTTCTGTTCAACAAAAGGGATGTTAAAAAAAAGCACCCGACACTTAGTACTACGGTTGATTGGTATTCCTCTTTACAAGTAAGAGGTCTTAGATTCGATTTTTGCCAAAAGCGAATTTGAACCACATTATTGCTAGCCCATTGTGAGGCTAAGCCCACCTCTCTCGCCTTAGTGTAGATAATATCGTTTGTTCAAAAAAAAAAACAACTTATTAAAATATGCTCAACTCATCTAAATTATGGCCCTAAAAAATTAAGAAAACCCCACAAGCACTGTTCTAAATATTTACGCCTAGGTAGGCTGGTTAGCCACGATCCTAATTAATCCCTAATTGTTTGAAAATTAAGAAATGACGTCTAGATCTACTTAGGCGTCCGACGAGACCGCCTAGTCATCCGCTTAGATTGCGACTCTCACTTAGACAGAAAATAGATAACTTTCATTTTGCATTTTATTTTTTTAAGTAAAATGTAAGAGACTTGTTGAATACTTGGATGTACCCTCATTATATGCTTGTTCTCCTTATTTTCAATATGTTCTAATACTTTATATTCTATATGTCATTTTATTTTCCAATTTATGTATACCAATATAATTATGTATTTTTAAGTATAAATATACTCTTATTTAGAGCTCGTTCGTTTGGATGTGCTTTTAAAATGACTGAAAACACTTTTGGAGAAAATGTTTTTGGAACCAAACCTTAGTAAAAATACACGGAAATCCTGCAAAAGCACTTAAAGTGCTTCCTGGAAGAAGCACATAACTGGTGCTTCTTGCAGAAAGCACTTTAAGTGTTTTTGGAACCCAAAAACGTTTTCTCTAAAAGAACTTATAGTCATTTTAAAAGCACATCCAAACGAGCCCTTATACGATATATAATAAATTTACTTAAATCTGCTGCCTAGGCGCTAGACCCCATCCTGCCGCCCGGTTAGCAACTAGCATTTTTTAGAACCTTGCCCACAAGTAATTCCATATTCTTTATTCATTTGCATATTTTCAACTTCGTTAGGACCAAAAAATCCATATTACTTTGCATAATTTTCATTTTCTATCACTTAAAATCATTCTAAGATTCAACATGTAATCAAACTTCAAAATTATGTATAATTACTCTATATAATTTTTTTCATTTTCTAGCAATGGTGCTTGCATTGCCCCTTTAAGGGGACGAACTTATTCCCCCACTAGCAATAATATATCTTTATCATAAAATTCATAATTAAGATTCTTCATTCTCTTAATCTTCATTTGAAGATCATTCCTACAAAAAAAAAATCATTTGAACAGGTGATTGTTAGTCATTTAAATATACAAAAAAAATCAACGGTGCATCATGAATATGCTACTTGGTATCTCAACTCTTGTTTCATTCCATACATTTAGAGACCAAACGATCACTGCGGGTACAAATGATCTTTTGTATGGGAAATCTTGGAATGAAGATTAATAAATTGAACGGTTCCAACTACGATAAGTTGAAGATATGTTGTTTGTAAGTAAAGGAATGAGCTCATCTCCTAAAAAAAGAATGTCAGTATTCTCCATCCAAATATCAAGATGTTTAGGAGTAATGCTATTCATACCATGTTTTTGTACCACATTTTTATACCACCTTAGGTGGCATTTGATGTGGACAGCCACATCATTTGAATTAATCAAATTTTTAAATTTAGTTCATTATTTAATAAACTAATAATTAAGAAAAACTAGTTAATTAAATGATGATTTTGATATACAAGGAGTCTTTCTCCTTCATTTCCTTGGACTTTGCAAATTTTTCAAATGATGTGGCTGTCCACATCAGATGTCATCTAAGGTGATATAGAAATATAATATAAAAACATGGTATGAATAGCATTACTCGATGTTCAAAGCTCCATCAAACTTTAAATCCGATATATCCTTATCTAGTTTCAGCCAATAAGACTACTACACTTGTAAAACAAATGATACAAATATCCGATTTGGTTTTAGGCCGTTTGATTGTCTTGTTCAAAACAAAAGGTTTGATCCTGAGTGCTGCATAGTTGTGCCTATATATATAAGCAGTTGTTCGTCTGATATCCAAATTATATATTTGTTAAATAAATTAAATTTCCTAATAAATTAATGGATAGATTTAGTCAACTAACAGCAGTTCTTAATTTTTCATTTTCAGTACAAATTCATCTCTAATTGCAAACTCAACATGCATCGAATTCCAATCCAAAAGAAAGCACAACAACAAACACATATATTTAAGAAAGATTGTAGCATACAAAGGCAGCCACAACTCACGAGCCACAGAGCAAATTAGAAACCCTAGCTAGCTGGCTCTCTCTAGCTAGAAGATCATGGATTTGCAGATCAAATGGCAATCTTATTATTTTACAATAAACTTTTAACCCCAACTGGACACTTCAGCTTTTACAGTCTTTTTATTATTTATAGAGACCCCCATGCATGGCGGCTTTTGATCATTTTTGCCAGCCGCATGAACTGTAGCTGCAGTTTGATCCATATTTGCAGCCATTCTCTGCTCCATAGTTCATCTCAGACCTCTCATAGAACCTGCAATAATATTCCATTTTCAAACTAATTAACCAATTATTCATATATATCATGCAAAAACAGATTTTTGAAGAAGTCACGAAAACTTACATCTTCACTGGTGCAACCCCAGCAATCAAGGTCTCAGTAGAAGCGTTCTCTAAGTAACCCAAATCAGGGTACGCACAGCTAAATATATACACATAACAGAAAAAATATATTAAGAAAAACATTAAAGAAATTCATTCAATGTATAAAAGAAGGAATTTAAGGCCACAAAATTGATGTATTTATAATAATAGGTACGAATATAGAACAGTAAATTACTTGCAGCCTTTGCCACAGGAGCAGTTGGAGCCACAGCTACAGTTCGGATTATCGCAACCAGACATTTTTTTGGGAAAATTTTGCGAGTGATAAGATAAGATTAATCTAATGCTGGTAGCTGAATTTCACTCCACCAAAGATGGATTCTCTGGTGAGGGCCTTCACTGGTATTTATACTGCAGTCCAAGATGAAGTGGTAAGGATCCACCGTGGCTGAAAATTAGATACATCATCAAGCATTATTGCAGAACTTGTACTGATAACAAAAAAATGATTTTAGAACTTGTACTATCATGGTAAAACTTAATTCATTAAAATTTTGGAATACGCCACTTAAAACTACAATTTAGTGGTATTTTTCTTCTAAGTGAGATCTAGGTTGAAATCTTGCGGATATCAAATTAAAAACTAATTTATTCCTCCACTTCTTATTGTAAATATATCGTTTGTATAAATAGAAAAAAATTGAAGATATGAGAGTTTAAAGTTTACAATAAATGAGATATCAATTCTTTCTTACTAATATTATAACATACAGATGATTAATACTAACATAACGGTGTAAATATGACACTAAAAAGATTTCTGCACACTGTGAAATATGGAGTGTTTACTGGTTAGAGATAAGGGAAAACCTTTGCATAGGCTTAGGATGCACATCTGGTTATATAAATTACATTACTTTATTTTTTTATTTCTTACAGTTACTGGTATTATTTTGCATAGAATTTTTTTTTTCTTTTTACGGAAATAAACATCATGTATATTGTAAACCAAGTACGATCAACAAATATTCTCTGTACTGCATTTGAGGAAAGAAAAAGATTATCTGTACTACACATTTTATATAGAGTTGTCATTGGGCTTATGCAAAAGATAATGAATGAGGGATTTGGATCATATGCGGAGCCCAAGGAGAGGATCCTCCTGACTAAGAAGTGTGGGCAGTTGGATTTTCATCCAACGACTATAATTATTATAACTTTAAAGAAATCTCATGTTTGTAGCCGTTAGATAAAAATCCAACAACCCACAGTTTTTTGTCAGGAGGATCCTCTCCTTGGGCTCAGGAGAGGATCCAAATTCATGAATGAGACCCTTATTAAAACAATCGTGAAAATAAAATATTGATAATTTCTAAAAAATAACTCCTAATCAGTTATTAAAGTATCTCAGATGGGAAACTCTATTTTAGGGTCTCCACTGCCACTCTTGACTCTTGAGAACTCTTTTAAGGGCTTCAAAGGAATATCTGGCTGCTGTAAGAATATTAACTCCAAGGGAGGGTCTTTATAGTATGATCCTTAAACTTGGGGACTAAAAGATCAAGAAAACCGTTGTTAACATAACAATCGTTGATCTAAATAGTGTAGTTATATGTATTGTTGGCTTAAAACAAAAAAATAATAATTGCAGGACTCGCGCCTCATGCTGCATTAGTAGTTGTCTGGAGATTGTGAGTTGTTTGCGTGTATATAAGCTGTGGATTATGTAACTCCACATTGTGGGGACCATTCCCACTCAAAAAGTAATCTTGGTCCCACTCCTTTTAGTCCCTACGTAGTCCTTAATTGTGGAAATTTTTTAGGGCACTGATCAGTCTCTCTACTATAAGGACTAGACCTCGGCCCAATTGGAAGCCACCAAGTTTTTAAACTTAAGAACGGACGGTGGTAGGGACAATGTTTAAGGCACCATTGAAGATGCTCTTAAAACATCTCCAATACTACTAACTACAAATTTGTTAACTTAGCGGAAATTCTTTTCATAATGCTAGAAGAGGTCATAGTTAAAATCTAGCTACCTAAATTGAGAAAAAAAACAACTTAAGAAAATTATTGGCATCTTAAAATTTGGGGAACTTTAATGAAAAAGGTTTGGGCTAAATTTATTTTAACAAAAAAAATCATGCTATAACTTTATTTAATGAAAAATAATCAAAATTTAATGAAAAACCCTTTAATTTTAATAAAAATGATGAAAAAACTTAATTTTTAATGAAAATGACACAATTTTTAAAATAAAAAATAAAAAAATCCGACGCATGCGCATGA